CATATCAGAATACAAAGATAAAGAAGGTCGCTACATAATGATTACGGGCAGGATTGATGGTACCATGACCACCATCCTGAATGTATACATTCCACCGGGCAGTGATTGGTCCCTGTATAGACAGGTTCTCGAAATTGCAACAACTAGGAGTCAGGGAACTTTAATATGCGGCGGTGACTTCACTATTCTATTAAACACCAAACTTGATTCTTCTAGTGGGAAAGGTGATGGACGAAATATTGGGAAAAAGATGGGACACCTCATGGACGATGTAGGACTGGTTGATGTATGGCGAGAATATCACCCTACTAATAGAGAATACACCCACTTCTCACACCCTCATAACTTATATTCTAGGTTAGATTACATTCTTATGTACAAGAATGATTTGTTTAAAATTAAAACCTGTGACATTGGTCCATGTACAATTTCTGATCATAATCCAGTTTATGCTGATATTTGTCTGAACAGGAAAAATAGATCTATGTTATGGAAGATGAACATAAATATTTTAAACTACCCAAACATTAAAGAGAATTTAAAAAAAAGAAATAGAGAATTATTTAGCACAAAATGATAATGAGGAGGTGTCACCAGGAATATTATGGGATGCAATGAAAGCAGTGATTAGGGGGAAAATAATTAGTATATCCTCACACTTAAAAAAAGAAAACATGCAAAAACGTAAATACCTGGAAGATAAATTGTTAAAACTGCAACATCAACACTCTGTGACTATGAACGAAAGCATTAAATCAGATATGGTAAAATTTAAAAAAGAATTAGATGACCTAAACATGATTGAAGTACAGAAAAAAATAATTTTCAACAAGCAACAGTACAGTGATATAGGAGGGAAATCACTAAAACTTCTTTCATATAAAATCAGAAAACAGCAAGCAGAGAGGACTATACACAAAATAAGAAATCCTTTAAATGGTCAATTAGAAACCGAAGAGGAGAAAATTCAACAATGTTTTCAGAATTATTACAGAAAACTTTACTCCCAAACCCATGTAGATGATAATCAAGATGTTAATACTTTTCTGTCCAAACTAGAGCTACCAACAGTGACGGAGGAACAAAATAAATTGTTAGTATCCACAATAACCAGAGAAGAAATTCATTCGGCAATTAAAAGACTAAAAGGAGGGAAAATGGCAGGGTCAGATGGATTTGGCCCAGAATGGTATAAAATAATGCAGGATCATTTGACTCCCACCTTGCAG